TGCCCAGCCTGTGCTCTACTTTCATTTCCCTGGGGATAGCAGTCTTTTATTCCTGAGTGCCTTTTTTCCTACCTGAAGAAACTGGTGTGTCTAAAGACACTGGTGACAGAGGGTGAAGCAAAGGTGTATCTTGATCCCATCCCATGGGCTCATGTCATTACTGAGCCCCTCCAGACTTCATGGCATGCCCATCCCCAGGTTTCTGTGTATCCCAGAATGATTCCCTCTGGAAAGAGAAGTAGAAGGAAGGAGAGGATAAGGAAGGGAAGAAGAAATATTCTTACCAGTTAACACATAATCAGCGTGTTTTCCTGTAGCATCTTGTTGGTAAGGATTGAGAGTGTACTTGGACTTAATTTTTCTTTTAAACAGAGTCATCACTTCCTTTTGTGTACATAGTAAAGATAGATATGATTAGGATTATATGGTGAATTGGGCCATTGATTCCTAGCCTACTGGTTGTCCAGGCTATTGGAAGCAGGCGAGTAAATTTTATGCAGAAATGAGCTTCACTGTTTTTTCATAATCTAGTATTATGCTGACACTTTTATATGTTATAGAATAAAATCATAATTAAAATTTAAAAAAACCAAAGAAGTAACTCCAATCGGAAGACACATGCCTTGGCTCTGCTATTAATCAGTTTTGTGATTTCTGGCATATTCTTTAGCTTTTTGGGGACTCAGTTTCCTAGTTTTTAAAGTGAGAGAAAAAAAACTTGTCATTTCTAAGATATCTTTAAGTTCTAATATTCTGTGATTTATAGGAACCATGTGAATAATGGAGGCTTTTTGAAGCTTAAAAGTATAGTATTATAATGGATTTTATGCTTTTCTGTTATTTTGAATTTTATTAGACTTTTGGTTCTGAATATTGAAGCAGAATTGAATATTTTTCAATTAGCTCTGTAAGTAGTACTGAACACTTATTTAATTCAGGAAGAAAAAAGCTAAAATCTTGTGTTGGGGGGAAAAAGAAGTGTTCTTCAGTTTTCTTAGACATTAAATGGCTCATTCAAAGCAACATTTTGATAAATTGTGTAAATGAGAGAAGAACATATGGATTAAATTTTCCTTGAAATACATACGCATTTAAAAATTAAGAAGAAAAAGTGCTTGGCAAAGCCCATTTGGGGTTCTGCCAAATGGAAAACATTTTAAAAATAGTTGAAAATGTAGTTTTATCTATTTATGCTACCATATTCACCGATCTTTATTGATTATATATTTTTAAATTTGTTAGTTACTCTCCTTATATTTATTTTTGCAGTTTTTTTTAATGCTCTGAGGGCTTGTTCAATTATAGTACTTTTTTTTTTTTTAAACAGACAACACAGTCCGTCAGTCACTGAAGAGCACATTAGCATATCTGTCTCTCCCTGTGGGAATCCTGTTCCTTGGACTTCTGCAGAGGTTGCAGTTTGATCTTTCGTGTAGTGATGACTGGCATCAATTTATATTGATACAATGAAAAATTTTAAAGAACAATTTGTGGTAGAGAAATAAAGGAGATCTTGTCTTTGAAGATGCGGAATATGGCAAGTAACTTTCCAGTAAATCATTCTATTTTAGTGGAGGAGCTTTGAAGGAAGATAAGCCCTGAGTTTCCTGATTATATATAATTCAAACATAGATATTCAAAAGTCTTAGAGATAACATTCTTCCGTATGGATGGAAGAGTTTGCTTTGTCTCTAGATCCCATTGTACGGCTTGAAGAAGAGAAGAATTATTTTCTCAAAATCTCAAAAATCATATTTCTGCAATTTTCTTGAAATCTCAGAATCACATCTAATTTCTGATCAAATTGGCAACACTTTCTAGTTCTAAGTGTTCAGTTCATCTGGAAAGAACTTGGTGCAATTTGTGTAATTACTTTACAGCTGTCTGCAAAACAAACCGTGGGAGTCACGTCTCTGCTGATGAATATACAGATTCAGGTCACTAGAACATAATCCCAAAACTGACATTCTGGGTGAGATTTTTCTCCTCTTTCGGTTCTCCTTCTTCTCCTTCTTCCTTCTTCTTTATTTTTCTTCTTCTTTCTTCTTCTTCTTCTTCTTTTTTTTTGTTTTTTTTGTGACAGAGTTTCACTGTCACCCAGACTGGAGTGTAGTTGCACAATCACGGCTCACTGCAGTCTTGACCTCCTGGGCTCAGGTGATCCTCCCCCGTCAGCCTCCCAAGTCACTGGGAATACAGGTGTGTGCCACTACACCCAGCTAATTTTTGTATTTTTTGTAGAGATGGGTTTTCACCATGTTTCCCAGCCTGTCTTCTTTCCTGTTTATGATTGAATCCTTTTGAAAAGAATGTTGTTTTGTTATAAAATTTTAATGAACAAAGAATGTATTTTGGTGTTAAAATCTTAAACCCTATTAGATGGTACCATAAGGGTTTGTATTCTACTCAGAATATGTCCAAGGAAATGATAAGATTTGTTTGCATAAGATGGTAACAATATCTTATCTTTTGAGGCTAATATTTAAAACCCAAGAGTATGTTTTAATTGCTGGGTTGTTCTTTTTCTTGTATAGTATCAAAATATTATATGTTATTGTTAATAATTTTCAATGAATCCTTTATTATTTAAGTAAAAGTCATTCTTATTGGGCTCATATGTTTTACCCCCACAAAATTGTGAATAGAATGTGTACAGTTTCATAAACTCTGAAATAAAAAAATGTAGGCAATTTTCTTTCTTTTTTTTTTTTTTTCTTACTCAGAAGTTTCCAGCACATTTTATTTTGCAGACCACTGGTTTGTAGCTTTTGAGGACCAACATCTGTATCAATTCCTATAAAATGTCCAATCAATTTCAGTTCCATAGAAGGCTCTTCCATGCTGCACACCATGCTTTTGGCTGAAGGTCCAGTTACACATGCATAAAGGCTGCCCTGCCCGCTGGTTCCTGGAGGAGGGCACGTCTGAGTTAAAGCCTCTTCCAGGAGCTCCCTCTTCCCAGGGGGTCATTTCCTTTGGCAAGAAGTCAGTTTACATGTGCGGCTTTGGTGCCTGTGAGCAGGAAGCACCAGAAACGTGCAGAATGTGCTGTTTTTTCTCTGATGAAGACAGGCACTTGAGGATCCACTGCCCTTGTGCTTAATGACAGGAATCCTTCAATTGCTTAGTAGGTTAAAATATAAGGAAGCCTCCGCTTTACGAAACACAGGTAACACCTTTCAAGATTGCCTATTTATTCTAGAATTACATTAATTCAGGAAAATATAGGTCCCATGAAAGACTTAAAAGTTTTATGAAACTAAAATCTAGTTTTTCCCAATAAATTGTATTTTAGGCAAAACCCTCACAATGCTTCTAAAATAATACTAAAAGGGTCATCTGCTTATACAAGAGCAATTTAAAAATTAAATATTTATTTGAATAACAAGTTTAAGTTGGAGCTGCAATGTTGGCAATGCAGGTTTTTATCACAGATCAGAAAAAGTGTGCACAAAAAATTACTGGTGCAAAGGACAAAATAATGCTAAGAATTAGGCTAACTATCTGCTGATTTCAAGAAAACAAAAGGCCTGAAATCACTGTACAAAATAGAAAATGTATTAAACACTACCATCCACAGAACAGTCTTTATTATTGATTATATTTTAAAATTATTTGTGTAATTGTATATTGAATTGTAAATGAGTATTATACATGAACCTCCTTTCGGAAGGCAATTCCTTGTAGCACTATAGAACATCTAATTACATTGCAAAAAGTATCCTTTTTTGCTATCGATAAAGAAAACAGCTAGTGATGTTACTGTAAATATCAGGAAGTCTACAAAAAAGGAAATAAGATTTCTTTTTTGTCTCTTCAAAGTGTTCTCCAAGCAGTGAAGCACTTGCCATGTTGAACTGAATGCACTACTGAATGCACTATGGGAGAATGTTCTGGGTCCAAGATGCTCTTGAGAGATAAGACTAGGCTTTTCCAAATCAAATATTCAAAGAAATCATGCAACCCTTTTATAACTGGGATACCGTCATATGCCACTTACCAATGCTGTCTCTCCAGAAAACCATTCAAGATGCTTAAAAAAAGAAAAAATCAGACTTATGATAAATATACATCAAATGGGATCTATATACCAACAGCTATTTGACACGACTACTGGTAATGTCTGTGCTATGTGAAAGCAACTTTAAAAAGAGCCTATGCAGCAAGAGGTAAGTGTCTAAAGATTCAAAATGAATGAACAGTATTGGATAACAATATAATTCTCAACTCAGAAGCTGCCTCAAGATTAGGTGCATCTTCACTTAATGTAACAGGAAAAAAAAGCAATGGATTTTATTTTATTAATCGTATCCACTTACAAACCGACCTAAGGTCACCTGATATGTAGACACAATGAGATTTCTGTTGTTTATAGTCTTTAATTGAAGTGATGATAAAGGAAATAGATCTATTTAAAAACAAAACCAAACAGCTATTTCTGTCTAGATTAAGAGGTGGCCCCGGATGTGGGATTCACATTTTGAGGGGCCACTTGTGGTGCGACCTCCATGATCCCGGGTTTGTCTATGATTCTGGCTGTGCAGTTGCCCTTCTCTACAATCCCAATAATCCATGCTTGGTGGCCTTCACCATATTTGGGGGACTTTATCTCTGCACAGAACCGAGCTGCTTGCTGACGTGGTAAACAGATCAGAAGGCTGCCTGTGGTCTCTGGGCAGGTCCCATGCATGAGGCCGAACATGTTTCCGCATGCCTTGCTCACCACGGCCATCTTGGCAAGCACTGGGAGGTTGTGAATTACAAACGACACTTCGTTCCTCTGCTGCTTGGCCAGGTTCTGCGTGTGGCCCCAAATCCCAAAGCCCGTGATGTCAGTGGCCGCGTGGGCATTGAACGTGTGCATGAGTCCTGCAGCTGTCCTGTTGAGCCTCGCCATGTTCATCATGGCCTCCTGGTAGGCCAGCTCTATATCTTCTTGAGTGAACACTAGTTTAATCTTATTCCATTTCTCAGGAATATCCAGCCACTGGTGCACAGCCACTGCCACCTGTGTCCCCAGGGGTTTTGTCAACACCAGCACGTCTCCTGGCACTGCATTGTCTGGCATGATAAATTCATTGGGCTGGCAGACAGTGGTAGCGACTCCTGCCAGGACAATCCAGGGGTTTAGTACTGTTTGGCCGCTGGTTACAGATGTTCCTGCTTCTTCAGCTGCATCTTTAAAACCTTGGTTAATCAGAGGCATCACTTTATCCCCTTCCCTGTCAGTCATTTTATTACTGACTCCAAGGAGCATCAGCATATTGTCACATTCCATGACCCCCACTGCATAGAAGTCACTGAGGACACTGGCACTTGCTATCCTGCCCGTCATGTAAGGGTCTTCTACGATCGGGTAAATGTAATCTGTGGTTTGAACCAAGGAACGCCCACCGTGCCTCAAAGGAATGACATAAGTGTCCATTCTAATGTCAAGCCTTGGCATAACGGCTCCCAGAAACTGCTTATCTTCTTGGAAATGGTTCACCTGTAAAGATTTCAGCAATTTTTGTAGGACATCTTGGGACACTTTCCAGCCTGTGCCCTTCATTTCAGTGAATCTGGTTAGCCAGAAGCTCCTGTCCAATTCGTAACTTTCTGGGTTGAAGGACTCCCGTGTACACATAGTTCTTGGGTCCCCGCTCGCCTCACAGCTCAGCCCCTCCCCTCCCTCTGCGGGTTGGCAGAATTCTTTATGGATCCACCAGCTCGCTTTGCGCCCTCCGCCTCCTCCTGAAAACAGGCCGCGGGCTTCTCCCACAATGCACCGGGCGCAGCCGGGCTCCCTTAGCGTCGCTTGAATAAAAATGCCGCGCCCAGCGGCGGCTGGGGCCCGGAGCTTGGTCACCGAGGGGGCTCGCCAAGCCGCCGCGCTCCCCAAATGTAGACAATTTTCTGTAACAACTGAAAGCAGACCCAGAAGTGAAGACCTAGATGACACTTTGGAACTTCTCATGTGCTGGGTTTTGTGTTTAAAGGCCATTCAACATAATGCAGCATATTTAAAACATAAAGTAAGTAATTTTTAAATGCTTTACATTCATTTCTCTTTCAGACTTAATAAATGCTACTACTTTCAAATACACCAAGGAATAGAAGAATTTATATTTATTTTCCTGATGGCATTGTAGGAAGGTATTTCAGATCATTAATAAGGGAAGCTAGGTACTTAAATGCCTTCCTCAAGCATAAGGGGTTAATTTATCATTGGTATGTTAGACTTGAGTATATCACAGTGGTTTGGATAATTAGATTATTGTCATAGTTTCTCAGTTACCATGAGAACTTACTTTTTTAAAAAATCAACTTTATCAAGGTATAATTTACATGAATAAAATGCATCCATTTTAAGCATACATTTAGATAAGTTTGACAAATGTGTATGTCTGTGGAACTACCATCACCACAATCAGGATATGGAACATCCACATCACCCAGAAAGTTTCTTCATGTCCCTTTGCAGTCAACCTCCTCCCCTACAGACCCTAGGAAAACACTGATCTACTTCACACCGCAGTAGATTAATTTTGTTTGTTGTAGAATTTGATATAAATTCAATTACAAAGTATGTACTCTTTTGTGTCTGACTTCTTTCACACCGCATCATGTTTTCAGATTCATTTGTGTTGCATGTGTCAGTAGGTTACATTTAGGCTGCTCACAACTTTTGGTTATTATGAATAAAGCTACTATGAACATTTATGCACTGGTCTTTGTGAGAACATAGGTTTCATTTTTCTTGGGTAAGTACCTAAAAGTGAAATTGATGGGTTCTTTGATAAGTGTATATTCAACTTTATAAGAAACTGTGAAATTGTTTGTCTAAAGTGGTTGCATCATTTTTTACTTTCACTGACACTTGCTGATACTTGGTATTATTATTCTTGTTAAAATAAGCAAAAGAAGTAAAAAGCTGAAGATTCTAAAAAACCAACAACTCTTCTTGTATCTGTAAGAGGAGTGAGGACACAGGGAAAACTTCAAAATTGGAAAGACCAGCAGGGGAACACAGAGAATCACAATTTACTAGAACAGACACCCACAAACAGAAACCTCCATATTCTATTCTTAACAAGGCCTGTCCTCAGGAGAAACTATTTCATCAGACCCGAATGTGTTGGGGTTTAATCAGAGCCTTAACCACCAAGGGGAAGAGAAATGCCCAACTCCAGTTTTCCACATGGAAAAGGAGAAATACCCAACTCCAACTTTTTTTACCCATCCTGTCTCACAGGGAGAAGGGAGAAAACTGAGAAGCACTGATAAAGCTCATAGTTCAGGGGCACAGGCACCCTAAAAGACTGATAACTAATCATGGGAATATAGAAAACAACTTTGCCTTACTACCACATTATCAAAGACCTATTTACCCTGTACATCATTTTACCTCACATATCATGTCTACTTTTTAACAGAAAAATTATAAGGTATCCAAAAAGGCAACAAGTATGGTTTGAAGAGACTGACAAGCATCAGAACCAGAGTTAGATACATCAGAAATGTTGATATTTAACCAGGAATTAAAACAAATAATTACTAGTATGCTAAGAGCTTTAATGGATAAAGGAGACAACGTACAAAAACAGGTAAATAAGGTAAGCAGAGAGATGGAAATTCTAAGAAAGAGTAAAAAGATGTACTAGAGATAAAAAAAATACTGTAACAGAAATGAAAAATGCTTTTCATGGGCTTATTAGTAGACTGGATATTCCTGAGGAAATAATCTGTGAACTTGAAGACATATGACAACAGAAACTCCCAAAACAGAAAAGCAAAGAGAAAAGAGACTGAAAAAACAGAACAGAATATCCAAGGACTGTAGGACAACTAAAACAGGGTATACCATTTGTTTAATGCAAATACCAGATGGAGAAGAAAAAGAAAAGGAACAGAAGAAATACTGGAAGCAATAATGACTGAGAGTTTCTTTAGATTAATGTCAGATGCCAAACCATAGATCCAGGAATCACAGAAAACATTAAGCAGAATAATTGCCAAACAAAATCTGGGCATTTTATATTCAAATTTCAGAGAATCAAAGGTTTTTTAAAATTTTTGAAAGAAACCAAAGAGGAAAAACACCTTACCTAGAGAGGAGCAAAGCTAAGAATTGTATCTATCTCCCCGGAAAGTATACAAGCAAGAAGAGAGCGGAGTGAAACATTCAAAGAGTTAAATAAAAAAACCATCAACCCTGAATTTTGTACCCTATAAAATTATTCCCAAAACTGAAAGAAAAATCAATGATTTCTCAGCAAAACAAAAATGAGGACATTTGCTGCAAATGTACCTGCCTTGCAAGAAATGTTAAGAAAAGTTATTTAGAGAGAAGAAAAATTATATAGGTCAGAAATTTAAATCGACATAAAGAAAGGAACAGCATGGGGGGATGCGTAAGTGAAAGTAAAATAGAAACTTTCATTTTACTTAATTAATCTAACACAAAAATTTGTTCAAAATAATGTCAACAATGTATTCAATTTTATAGATATATATATGTTTACATATAAGTAAAATGAATGACAGCAATGAGGCAAGGGAGAGAAGGGAAGAATTGGAAATATCCTGTTATTACAAAGAACTTGTGACAGAGCAAGACCCTGTTTCAAAAAACAGTAAGAAAAAAAAAGAAATTGCATGATGCTGAAGTTGTGTAGTGTTTTTTTAAAGTGGGCTTAGATTTGTTGTGAATGTATATTGCACACTTTAAGACAACCACTAAAAGAGAAAAAAAAAGAAGCATGACGAAGCATGAATAATATGCTAAGAAAGGAGAGAAGATGGAATTATATAACATGCTATATTAAAACAACAAAAGGCAGAAAAACTGTGAAGACAAAAATAAAAACAAAGAAAAATGGCAACAGATAGAAAAAAGTAAAAATATCGTAGGTATTAATCCAACCATATTAATAATCACTTTAAGTGTCAATAGTCTAAATAAATCAATTAAATGGCAGAGATTGACAAGTAGATTTTTTAAAAAAGACCTAACTACACGTTGTCTGCAAGAATTCCACTTTAAATACAAAGAGATATATAGATTACAAATAAAAGAAGGAAGATAAATATACCATGCTGATATTAATTTAAAAAGTAAAAGTAGCTATATTAATTTCAGACAGAGCAGACTTCAGAGCAAGGAAAGTTATCAGGGATAAAGAGGGGCATTTTATAATGATAAAGAGGTCAGTTCTGCAAGGAGATATAAAAACTTTAACGTATATGACAACAGATTGTCAAAATATGTGAGACAAAAACTGATAGAACTGCAAGGAAAAATAGATGAATTCACTCTTGCACTTACAGACTTTAACACTCTGTCAGAAATGAACAGATCCAGAAGGCAGAAAATCAATAAGGACATAGTTTAACTCAACAGCCCCATCAGTCAACTGTATATAATTGACATCTATAGACTACTACATCCAACAACAACAGTTTACACATTTTTCTTAAATTCACATGGAACATTTATCAAGATAGATAAAATTCTGGGCCATTGAAAACACACCTTAAGAAATTTAAAATTACAGAAATTAAAAAATGTCTGCCCTCAGACCACAGTGGAATTAAACTAGAAATAGATAACAAAAAGGTAGCTGGGAAACCCCAAAATACTTGGAGATTAAGCAACATGTTTCTAAATAACACATGGCCAAAGAAAAAATTTCAAGAGAATTTTAAAGATATTTTGAACTAAATGAAAATGAAAATACAATTTATCACAATTTGGGGAATGAAGTGAAAGCAGTGCTTAGAAGGAAATTTATAGCATTGAAAGCATATATTAGAAAAAGGAAAGGTTCAATAATCGAAGCCTCCACCTTAGGAAACTAGGAAAAGAGTAGAAAACTAAATGCAAAGTAAGCAGAAATAGTAAAAAACAAGTGCAGAAGCCAGTGAAATTTAAAACCCACGAAATCAACAGAGAAAAACCATCAAAGCCAGAAGCAAAAGGTCAGAAGCTGGATTTTTTTAAAAGATCAGTACAATTGATAAGCCTCTAGCCAGGCTAATAAAAAAAGAAGGAAGACACAAATATTAGTATCAAAAATGAAAGAAGAAACATCATTACAGACCTCATAGACATTAAAATGATCATTAAAATGATAATAAATATTATGATCAACTCTCTACCTACAAAATTGATAACCTAGATGAAACAGACCCATCTATTGAAAGACACAAGTTTTCAAAACCCAAACATGAAGAAATAGACAATCTAGTCTATAGCTATTAAAGAAGTTAAATCAATAATAATATTCTAAAAAAGAGAAATGACTCATCTGTCATGAACCTACCATGACAGATGTGTTCACTGGTGAATTCTGCCAAATATTTAAGAAGGAAATTACACCAATTTTCTGCAATCTCTTCCTAAGGAGAGAAACAGAGGGAATACTCTTTCTATGAGACCAGCATTACCCTAAGACAAAAATCACACAGACATTACAAGAAAGGAAAACTGCAGACCAGTACCTCTCATGAATTTATAAATGCAAAACTCCTCAACAAAATATTAGCAAATTGAATTCAATAATTAAAAAAAAGAAATATACAACATAACCAAGTGGAATTTATCCCATGTATGCAAGGCTGATTTAACATTTGAAAACCAATTAA